TTTTGAATTCAAGCATTCGAAATCATGAAAGATTAACTAATGCACCTGACAAAACGGCTGGATATAGAAAAAAAGACAGAAAACTGTAAGAAGTACATATTTGAAGTATTCAGTACAGCCTACCTTGAATTGTAAGAGTCGACAGAGTAATGAGCAAAACGTAAATCGTCATATTAGTCAACCGTCTTGATTCCATGGTATTTTAGGAAAACTAACAGTACTATATTGCGCTTATAGCATGGGCGTTGTCTCTGCAATTGGGGTCGTAAGACGTACTAACACGAGAGTACAACTTGACCTCTAGTTCATCRCCAGACCTTGTAAAATCAAATGTTTGTTTGCTGAGAAGCACAAATTCCATGGTTGTCCATGGTAATTGTCTTTTGTTTGGGATTATTCAAGAATAAAAGCTTACATGATCTTTTATTGACATTCAGAACAAGTCGTAGCAAGTTTATCGTCAAATTTAATCAGCTCAACAACTATAATGCTGTGCTTCGACAGTAAGGAAAATAAACTTTTATGAGAAAGTGAACAACTGAAAAAAGAGGGGATAGGAATAGAATTGAATGTACTACGTTTTGGTAATATCATAGTTACCATCACACAGCCCCAGTTCAATTTCTGCCGTATTTTGAAAAGAGCACTGACAGACTATTATCAAGTAATCTAGCTAGACAGGGCGGAAAATGTCGCGCGGTACCTTGTGCCTCTCTCGAGACGAAGATGAGCTAAATTCAACAGTGTATGTACCAGAGTCCTTTCGGGTCTTTGCATTCTGCTTTCAARCCGAGACAACTTTTAATGGTAAACGCACGATTCTCAGAGATATTTACAACRTAAATTTCCCCTGCACAATACTACCACAGAGAATACAGAAAATCATTAACAAATTATTTGATTTAGAATTCAATGATCCTGTGTCCACCCAGCTGCAATCTTCTAGTTCTTCATATTCAGATTTCAGAGTTTCTTTTGGACAAATGTTTTCGCCTGGATCGAGTGTTGGCAT